ATGATAAAACTTTATAATTTAAAACAAGCAAAGTATAAACATAGAGTTCAAGATAGGGAATCCTTTGCTGTTGGGATTGAAGCTGGGTATTACAGGGAGAGGACAGCACAGGTAATTAAATATGTTGGTGGTGTTCTTCGGTGTGTCATGGACTTATGAATGTTTATTTTTCACTGTGCTTTGTGACTTCAATTTATGTGAATTATTTTGAAACTGTCATAAGTTACAGTAAAACATTAAAGGCAGAGAAGAAGTTGAATTGAATTAACTAAGTTATAAAAAAGGAGAAAGAAAGCTCATGATACATTATTTTTTTGAGAACAAATTTTAAAAAGACAGGGGATGGGTTATCAGAATTTCCTAGACTTACTTGGTCAGGGAAACTCGTCGTGTAAGAAGCCTTTATAGCCAGTAAGCTAGTGATGCTGAGATTCCTTTTGGGAAATGGTGCTTTAGGAGAAGCAACAAGAATCTAAAAAGTTAGCCTGTATAAACTTTCTTTTATAGACATTTACACATAAATATTATCTGCTCAATTAAATTAAGGAAACCACTTCAACCTTACTTGTAGGAACAGAATTAGGTTTTTTTTGGGAAATCATATTCCTACCCCACCCAGGATTTCTCACTCTAGAAAGATTTCTGCTTATACGAAGCATTTGCTAATAAGAAGTTTTATTTTGTCTCTAAGAAGGAACCCACTGTTTTCAAGTAGACAAATCATAATGCTTTCATACCTACTCAGTCACTGTACTGACTAGTCTACTGCTCCTACTAGTGTGCTAGGAGAAAACAGATAGACCTTGCTATAGTCACAAACCAGGTGACAGTCTAAACAAGTTAACTTGCCCTGGGAAATTCAGTGTGCCAGAGACCCACCTCACATCTAGCTGCATTTCGCTATCCAGAATTAGTCCTGTTTCCCTGCCTACATGGAAGGTCTCAGGAAATGTAGGGAAGTAATCTGTCTCTGCCACAGATAGTAATTCTAGGATTAAATTATAAGCAAGACAAGCTTGGCAGAACGATGGCATGCATTTCTTTATTCACAGTTCAGGTTTTGTTGTTGTTGTTGTTATTGTTGTTTGAGATGGGTCTTACTGTGTATCACCTAGACTGGGTTCAAACTCACAGTGCTCCTACCTTGGCCACTGGCATACGAGGATTACAGGCATGCACTAAACCAGCCCAGTTTTATCCCTGTATCCCATCTGTCCTTTTTCTCTCTCTTTTCCTTATATATGGATTGAACCCATGGCCTTTGTTTGCTAGGCAAACACCTTACCTCTCAACTATAACCCCAGCCCCTAAACTGCAACTTAGCTGTGAAAAAAAAAATCGTATATAAACAATTAGTGTGTTTTAATTTTTTTATGTTCTGTAGAGGTTTTTTTTTTTTTTCTTTTATGTTGAGTGCATTAATAGTCTCTCCATTTTATGGCAGCATGAAAACATTCCCTTTGAAGACAGAATTGCATCAGTTAAAGTGGTAAGTTCTTTTTACTAGTAAGCCAAATGTTGGAACTATATTTATAGATCAACTAATATTCTATACATTCTGTCCATGATAAATAGATATCAATATATTCCTTAGAGGATATATGGATAATGAAGTGGTAGGATAAGTGTCTATGAAAGTTGTTTTATGTATTAGAATAGAAAAATTGTTCTCAAATTTTTATCCAAGAAAAAATATTCTTGTATAGTAATTTGAAACCAGTATGAGTTCAGGATTAGTGTCCATAAGGGCACATACGTAAATTTTCTGAATTACCAATCACAGTGAGAATTCACTGGGGATCCAGACAAAAGGGGGAAGGAGGATTCTTTGGAGAGATGGCTCAGAAGTTGGGAGCAATGGCTGTTCTTGCAGAGAACCTGGGTTTGATTCCCAGTACCCACATGGCAGTTAATAACCCTCCATAACTCCAGTTCCAGGGGAATCCAGTGCCCTCTTCTGACCTCCACGACATTTCACAACATGGGTGCACTTACATACATGAAGGCAATACACTCATACACATAAAATGAAAATAAATAAAATATTTTTTTAAAAAAGATCCTTGGCTTTAAAGAAGTATTCAGAACATTATAGTTCCCCCGCACAAATGTGAGATAGGATAAGTGAAAAGAAAAGCAGAGCTGAAGGAATATGCAGAGGAAACAATTGAAAGTAGTTTTCCTCCTTGAAGAAATGACGCTTTCATCATGACCTCAAGGATAGGTAAGATATGCCAGGCTCAGTGGAAGAGTCTACAGGCATTTGGGGCAAAAGAACTGTTTGTCCAAAACTTCAGGGATGAGGAGCAGACAGGGAACATCCAAGGGACTGCCTATGAACAAAAGGTGCTTAGAGAGCAAGGATGAAGGTGCAGAAGGAAGGGCAGAGGGGCAGGGAGAGGCTGTGATCTCTACCTGCTTAGCAAGTTCAAGGAGTTCTGCACTTCATTCTGAGGGCAGCCAAAAGTTCCACAACACTTAAATACAGCATGGCAAGATGAGGGTTAATACAGACTTTTCTGGCTCAAATGTGGAGAGTAGAAGAGGAGGGACAGTGGATATAGCCACCATCATGAGATTCCTGCCAAATTGAGATGTCACAGGAAGATGTCTTAGATAAGCGCTGTTTGATTTTTAAGTACTCTGTAAGAGAATGTTGATGATTGTTTTCAATGATGGAAATAAGAGTATTGTCTTTTTCTTTATTTCTAACATTCTAGGATTTTCTATGGCATCCAGAAGTTAATGGTTCTATGAAACAGTGTATCAAAGTCTGGACTGAGGTCTGTATTTGAAAATAGAGGCTTTTTTTTTAGCAACCAAATTTAAGAAGACAATGAGAAATCATTGTTTTTCCTAAAGTATATGGGACTGGGGACTGATTCTTTCACTTGACTGAGAAGAACAAAATAAGTAATCTTTCTAGCATAACAAACGTTCTCTTGGTCATTTTTTCCTGCTTTGTCCTTCAAACTTATGACCAGACACAGAAGGAAACTTTTTTAGTTTTACTTTTATAGACTTTTTTTTACTTTTTATCACTACATTTATGATCTAGCAGGTAAGACTAGTATGTATTAGCACATAATCTTTGGAGGTAAATTAGCACCGCAGTATGCTGTTAAGCTCAGAGAATCTTTAGGTTCTTATAAGTCCATTTACGTTCCCTACAGAGCACACCTCAGCAGTCTTCAGTTAAACTCCTGTTCCTTCCCCAGAGCATTTGCATTTGCCATAGATAAAACAAATCAGTTTTTTGACCTTGTTTGGTTTAATTACTCTTTTTCACCAACTTTTTTCCCCTTTTTTATAATAAATGTTTAAAACTGAACTACGTTATTCAACAGGTAAGTATTTTTAGAATCATGGGAGAACCTAGCCACTATTTGTAATTTTGTTTGAGATACATGTTTAAGAACAAATGCATAGCTGGGTGTGGTAGCTCACATCTTTAATCCCAGTACTTGGGAGGAGGCAAAAGCAGGTAGATCTCTGTGAGTTCAAAGCAAGCCTAATCTATATAGTAAGGTTCAGGTCAGCTGAGCTACATAGTGAGACCTTGTCTCAAAAAAATAAAAACAAAAAACCTTGCCTGCCTTGAGAGGATGCAGGACACAGCCTGTTCCATCAGCAACCAGCAGATTCAATGTGTCTGGAACCAAGTACAAAGTGTGTTAGTTTTAGTTCCCTTTCACTTTGGGGATAATTGATAGTAGGTAAGACAGGTAGATACTAGAAGAATGACAGTCTTAAGTGTATATATATA